AGAAAAAGAAGATCCCCCAAAACCCCAAAACCCCAAAACCCCAAAACCCCTTAAGGAGATATTAAACAACTGATTAGAATAAAGTTTAAAAAATAAATTTAAGTTTCTCAATATTTAAATGTAAAATCAAATTACAAAAGCAAATATTGGAAACTAAGATTATGAATTACTTTATTTCAAAATTCAATTCTTGGTAACTGATTTTAATTTTGAAGTATTTAGCTTAAGGAGGACTTAATGAATTCCATGTCTTTTTGAATTTTAAGAACATTAGCATTAAGTCCTTTTACTTGTGCATCAAGTCCTTTACCTTGTAAATCAAGTCCTTTTACTTGATCATCTAATTATTTGCTATTTTCCTATGTTAGATCATGCTTCTAATTTAATCTAGTAATTTTTTCATCCAAAATTTAAGATAGTTCCTGATTTATCAAGTTAGAATTTTGAATAATATCAGCTTTAGATTTTACAGCTGTTGTCCTTATTGTGTTCTTCAGGTCTTTAATAAATCCTTGCCATTCCCCATCTTCCTTTATCGTTGCATTCAATGGTCTTCTGACAACAATATAACTTGGGAAATATTTTGTGTTTTTAAAATCATCTTTAGTAAAAAATTGTTCCCTTTCAAAAATCATATTTGCTTTGAGAATATAGGATTCCAAAACTAGTTTCTGCATCACTCTTTCATAGGATTCTGAAATAACAGTAATTATGAAGTTCATGAAAACGATATATAAAGTCATAACTGCTACCAACCAGATCAGCCATGTAAGTACTACTAAACCATTTTCTTAACTATGGAAGTCATCAAGTTAGAAATCACCAGATGAAATTCTAAATGCCATTAAAAAATACGCCAATTTGTTCATGCCATTGTATTCATCAATCTCCTTAGCCTTAAAAAGGACTAAGAAAATTATTCCAAACTGAATAATGAAAATAAGAAAGAATATCAAAAAGTATTTGAGGTCCTTAAATACACCAGCTAGCATTTAAACCAAGAAACTGAAGCCATCATAAATCCTCAAAAAAGAGAATATCTTCATACATGACAATATGATTACTAGAATTTTGATAAAGATGAGGTATTCTTGATTTTCACTAGTGAAGTCTAAAATACAATAGACTGCGTATGAAATAATTAGAGGGAAATCAAAATAGTTCCAACCATCATTAAAGTATTCCTTTTTTTAAACTTTAATCTAACTTAACTCATAAGCGAAGAAGTAAGATAGAACAGCACAGGATATTACCTTTGTAAAAATCTTAAGCCAAATATTTGGCTTCTAAATTTAACTCTCTTAATCTAGTTCCTTTTAATCAGTTGAATTCTAATCAATTTATTTAGCTGAGTCATAAACTGAATAGAAAATATCTAAAATGAATGATGCAATATATACCAAGTAAATATAGAATCTGTTTTAATAAAATGATTTAGTATAATTGTGCCACTTATACTTTATAATGCTTTAAATTATCTTATTTTCAAAATAATCTGGTCTTTCTGACTAACTTAGCACTCTCATTAGCTCGCAATTTTAAGATTTCAATGTTACAGGTAAATTGATCAAATGATATTCAATTGACACAAGATAATTATTCGATTTATTTAAAGCCGCTAATTTATCTCCAAATAATGGTAAGGATTTATCAAGGATCTGAAGTATACTATAAGGACATCCGCTGTTAAGTCTAAAGCAGAAATTATTTAGAATCTTCACTCAATTCAGACTAAAAGTAATCAGAAACTAGATTAAGTGATTGCACAAAATTCTAAACAGCTTACTAATGAAGGTCTTGATGCAAAAATTAGTAAATTGAATTAGAAGCTTGATGAAGCATTGGAGAATAGCAAAGAATCAACTTAGAAGCTTATTCTAGCTTAGGAGAATAGCAAGACTAAACTTGATAAATAATCTAAAGGAGTTCATAATCTTGATGCTAAGGTCAAAGGACTTGACAATAAAGTAGATGGGCTTGATACTAAAGTAGGTGGAGTTTATACCATAGTTGATGGACTTGGTAAACATGTCGAAGGACTTGATGGCAAAGTAGATGGACTTGATGTACAAGTTAAAGGACTCGATGCATAAGTTAAAGGACTTGATACTAAAGTCATCAGAATTCAAGATGACATGGAATTTATTAAGAGTTCCCTTACTTAAATACTTCAAAAATATAATGAGTGATAGATTCCTTTACTTTGAAGATAATTATTAACTCTATGTGGCTCAGTTTTGATTAAAAATGCAATTGTAACTTGCTTTTGCATTTAGAAATTGAGTGACTTCAAAATACTAAACTTGAAATAAATTGATTTTCCTCTTTTACTAAATTAAATTTATTTCTTAAACTTTTACTCCCTTAATAGTTAAATCTTCTCATCTTGGGGTTTTGGGGTTTTGGGGTTTTGGGG